TCCTCCTCCTCCTCCTCCTCCTCCTTACTTCTGTCTCATTATCTATTATCAATGGGAGAAATTCATTTAGTTTCCATATGAGTACAAACTTTTCTAATTAAATGTTTTCTCATCAAAGTATGAACTGAAACTCAGCTATCCTTCAAAAAGCATACTTCAATTATGTAAACAATATGCAATTTATATTCAAAGATGTGTTGATCTCAAGCTTAGTTTTGGCCCTTTTTTATGGCATGGGAAGACTTACTAGGAAAAAAACGGAACCAACTAAGGCAGAACAAAGCATCCAGTGGCCACTGAGTGGCAGTCATGTTCTACATATAGGCTGCACATTTCTGAACAACTTGCATTTGCCAAAGTCAAAGAATAAAGCTGCAAGGGAGCATTTGCTTCCTCAAACTCATTTGGATAAGTATGTCTCCAAGACTCCAGCAAACTCTGTTTAAAATCAATCTTCCTGAACTGCAAAAAAGCATTTTGGAAATGACCCTCATGGTTTGTATGAAGAAAGTTCTAGATTCAACATCTAGAATTGAATCTCCTTTAGGGCTGCTGCATAATAGGCAATATCTTAATCTATGTAAAGATGAGGTAATCAATTCATTTTCTCCATTGTACTGTAGCTACCATTGTTTGATTAATCCCAGGCATTGCTTTCCCCCCTCATTTCCCAAGGAAAAATAAGTTAGCTAGCTGAAGGTTATTATCAAAATATATAACCACTGTATAATTACAATCCAGGACCTCTTGCATTTCATTTTTTTCTGGTTGCAGTGATTATGAATGACAATGAGAAACAGGAAGCCTTGGGTGCAGCTAGTCAGTGCATAATTGATACCGTAATAGGATTCAGGTTCTAGAAGCCGCCACTCATATATGAAATATTTTCCTGAGTATGTGATTCTTAATTAAAATAATCACTGCGATTTTTTAGTTACTGCTTTTGTTATATTTGAGCATACATATTTGGGAGAGGTTGTACAGAATGTGTTATTTTATATTTGAGAAGAGGTTGTATATTCTCTTAGATACAAAAATCAGACAAGCCTATCTGATGTTCTGCCTGCCTGCCTGCCTGTATACCTATTATGCTCTTGTTGGAACCAAGAACAAAAGAATAATAGGTCTAGTATATTCACATATTATAAAATGACTAGAAGTGAGAAGAAATATTTTGATTTATTCCAAGTCATCCAGTGAGGTACTCAGATAAAAAAAATGACTGAGTATAGTTTATGATAGGCAGAACTTGGGATTCTCAGAAGCAAGCAGAAAGGGCAAAGGATGATAAGCCATCTTAAATTAAAATTAAGTCCTAATGCATTCAATGACTCTTGCTTCTTTAGGGCTGTGTTCAAACAATATCCTTTACTTGAAGTATGTTTCAAGCACTCTTCCTGGTGATATTATGGACCTACCATATTGTTTTCTCTTCCAGAAGTGGTTTCATTACTCTCTTGCATTTTTTTTATAAAAATAGTCATAGTTTGATAGTGACGAACATTTGAATGACTGCAGTCCATTTTTCTGATGTCCTGATGTTTTGCCTACAGATGTGGCTCGTATCTTTAGATTCAGAGTCAACTGCTTTGTAGTATGCTAGAGTAGTAAACTAGAACACGGTCATTCAGCCCAAAAGCTCATCACTGCTTGATTGATCCTGGTCATGAAAATTGACACATACATAATTCGTGGTCTAAGCAAAGCTCAAAGCAGGGGGTCTTCTGACTAAGTCCAAGTACTAATCAGTACCTGCTTAACTTTTTCAAAATCTTCAAGGTTGGTTGGCTGCTCCTACCTGTTGTAAAATTTTCTGGGTACATACAACTCTTTCAACCATAAACTAACTATAAGTAATAAGTTTATAAATCAAATTAAGTCAGGAAAACACAGCAAAATTTGGCTTAGCATGTTTTGTAAATGCAGTTACTAATCCTTTAACGTGTTTAGTCTGTTGTAAAAACACCTAATAAATATGCTGAAAATTATTTGAAACATACTTTTTTCTTCTTCTATTCATTTGTGTTTGAGACTGCCTGAAAACTCACTGCAGTTTTCCTGGCAAGGTTTTTCAGAAGTAGCTTGCCATTGCCTCCTTCCTAGGACTGAAAGTGACTGGCCCAAGATTATCCAACTGGCTTTGTACTTAAGGTAGGACTAGAACTTAAGGATTCCTGGTTTCTAGCCTGATTCTTAACCACTACATCAAACTGGCTTTCTAAACATATATTAGTGTAAACTAAATCAACGGGATCTGAATCAGGTTTATTCAAAAGTAATTCCCCTGAGAAATTGCATATTCAGGTGGAAGAAACTGCATTGTTTCTTCTGTCGTATAGGAGTCTAAAATTGGTGTCTGGCTCTTCAGTAGCAAAATATGTGTGTGAAGAATTATCTGCTATGCTTTACAAACTGGTGCTCTTAAGTATATGTGCTTGCAAAGATTGCCTATTAAAGTTTTTGACAGATGAAACTCCAAACATACAGTAGAGCGTGAGAAGTCACATGGCCGTGCCACTGTGCATGTATGTCTCTGAATGATAATTTGATTTTTATCAATTGTCACATTGATATGACAACTCAATTTGACTTTCCGTTTGGTGATGTTATTGAATTGGCCTTGAATCAAATCCCTCAATCACAGCTTTTTAAGACACCCTTTAAAGCAGGGCCGCAGCATGCCAGCAACCAGTCTGCACAAACAAGCAAAGCTCCATCCGCGAGATGCAGGCAGCACACAAAACCATGCACCCTCCTGTCTACGGAAAAACCTCTCTCTATGGAACCAGTCCTGGTGCCCTAAAGGTTGGGGACCTTTGCTTTAAAGTAATCAGTTTAAAAATTGAACCACATGTCCTCTCTGCATGGCCAACAGATGGCACTAAATTGTGTATAATACTTTTTCTGCAACAATCAAGACAGGTGAGCTACTTTATTGATCATGCACTGCAGCCATCAACAACTCTCCTGAAGCCCAGTCGATTGTATTTGATTTATACAAGCTGTGTTTTGAAACAAAATCCTTTCCCCGCACAGAGTACAAGAGCAGAACAATGATCAAAGATGGAAGCTAGGTGTAGGAATTTTACTGTCTTATTTTTAAATCATTGTTCTGTTGTTATACCTCATCTTTGAGTACTTTGCAAACATTATGTGTATCTTATGCTGGAAAAGTTGGTATAAAAATATTAATTCACTCTTTAACTTCATTTCTGTTTTTACATATATACATATGTACATATCTATAAACATACACAGTAAATTATGCCCATCCCTGCTTCCTGAGCTGCCATTGGTTACCAGCTGGCTTCTGGGCACAATTCATTATTACCTATAAAACCTTACATGTATAGGGCCTGGCTGTTTCTGATTGTTCATGCCCATCTAGGTAGATTAAGCATAATGTGTATGCTGCAGGTCCCTTCAGTCAAACAATACCATGTATCAGGAATTAGAATGTCCTTCTCTGTTGTGGCACCTGCCCTCTGGAACAACATCCCCCCAAAATTCATATGACTTTGACTCTACAGTTGTTCAGGAAGTTGTTAAAAACATTGTTAGTTTTTGTTGATTAGAGAATGTTTGCATATTTTTTTCTATTTTTTTTCTGTGTATTGTAAGCCACTGAGAGTCCTTTGGGAATTAGGCAGTCTCCAGATCTAACAAACAAATGAATAAATAAATAAATCAGGCTGATTACAGCCATATTGGTAAATGACAGCCATAAAGAGGCTGAGACCAGTTCCCTCCATACAATAAATATTGTTCATGGAGTGATCATCGACTCCTTTCTGTTGGTGGTTTCACAATTCATTTTTACTTGTTCTGACTGCTGTTCCTCTGGTAACTTCATCAAAATTCTGAACAAAGGCCTCTCACATTCTAATTTTTCATCAGTGAAAGCAACTCAACCAGCTTAACTCAAACTAGTAAATGTCTATCTATAAGAAGGGATGTGTGCCTCCTCCCATCACTATATACCCTGAATATCATCCCATTTGCATTGATAAAGCAAGACACTTAATTTGGAGGGATGTTGTTATAGTTTGACATGGAATCAGTTAGGCAGAGAGGTAGTGGGCTTCTTTAATTGGAAGTGTTCAAGTGGTTATCAGACATCTGTTGATCAGGAATAACTTAGTTTGGATTCCTGCACTGAAAAGAAATTGTATTAAATGGTCCTTTCCAATTCTAGGATTTTTGGATTCTATGTTTTATCCACTTCTGCCTTCCTCTTCTTCTTCTAGACCCTTTCTTTCTACATGAAATTAGACATATTCCCTCCCTTCTGAAATTCACTTGAGCCATAGTCACCACAGATGTTGTATTACTAAAACAGGAAATTCTGAAGTTAGGATGTACCTTTGAGCAGTGCTCTGCTCGCCCAGTGACTGTTGAGTGGCCTTGAGGTAACTTTGCCTCCGTGCTGCAGTTTTAGGAGATGGCTTGGGGCTGGTTTCTGAGTCCTCACTGTCATCATCACCCATGGCTTTGATATAACTCCCACTTCTCATGCGCCGGCATGGGATTTCATTGTCTTTGTCCCTAGTCAGCATATTATTCCAGTCTCCCTGAGGCACCTGTGAAAGACAAAAAACAGAATATGGTAATCATCTGTGGCAAAGAAAATAAAAGGGGCAGGAAATATAACAGCTAGATTGCTAATGGATGGGGAGAGGCCCTCTGAAAGATAATAATAATAATAATAATAATAATAATAATAATAATAATAATAATAATAATAATAATAATAATAATAATAATAATAATAATAATAATAATAATAAAGTTGGAAGGGACCTTGGAGGTTATCGAGTCCAACCCCCTGCTCAGGCAGGAACCCTACACCATTTCAGAGAAATGGCTGTCCAGTCTCTTCTTAAAAACTTCCAGTGTTGGAGCATTCACCGCTTCTGGAGGCAGGTTGTTCCATTGGTTAATTGTTCTAACTGTCAGGAAGTTTCTCCTTAGTTCTAGGTTGCTTCTCTCCTTGATCAGTTTCCACCTGTTGCTTCTCGTCCTGCCTTCAGGCGCCTTGGAGAATAGCTTGACTCCCTCTTCTTTGTGGCAGCCCCTGAGATATTGGAACACTGCTATCATGTCCCCCCTCGTCCTTCTCTTCGTTAAACTAGATGCTTTCCTTTTTCAAAAGCCATTTGTTGGACATAACAGAAGAGGGCCACTTTTTATATCTCTCTTAACCTAGAGCAGACATGTCAAACTCGCAACGTCACGTGACGTCGCGCAATGTATCGGAGCTTTTTTGCCATTGCCGGCAATGAGGTGGGCTCCGGTATGATGAAACCGGTCCGCGGGCCGGCAGTTTGACACCCCTGATCTAGAGAAATAATTTTCTCAGAAGGTAGATTTACTTGCCTTTAGCTGCCTTTTAGCAAGGGGTGAAGACCTGCTTTAGTCAGAATATGTCAGCTTTTGCTAGTGTGTCTAGTGGTTTTAGTGGTTTTCATGATATTTTTCATCTTTGTGCTTTATTTTCATTATGCATTGACTGCGTTATGACAGCAAGGTGAGATAGAGGTGAAAGATAGAAAATCCTCCACCTTCTCATCATCTGAAAAATAAAGTACTACAAAATAGCAGGCTAGCAATTCATTAATTCAGCCTCACCAGAAATAATGAGTTTCTGATGAAATAAAATCATACAGGAACAGACAATTTCATGTATAGCAAGCAATTTACAGACACTGTTTAACTATGCATGCCTGAAACATCTTCTTAAATTCTTTATTTATTCAGCTAAAGACTTACAGGCTATGAATATATGTTATTTTCAGAGCAGTGATTAAAAAAAAATCATCTGAGGCCATGGCTCACAGATCAGATCTGGCAGATGGACTTCTGATGTGACATTACAAGGCTCTAAGAAGGTCCTCTTTCCTACTTCTCATGTTGAAGACTTAGTTTTCTATTTGAAATGAAAAGCTACTGTTACTCTCTGTCTGTATGTTTATGGGGAGTGAGTGAGGCAAAGAAAGGATGTTATATAGGTAAGCAAATTTATGTAATTTAATACTTCCCAACTTGTCCATTTTGGTCTTTGACTCCAGATACAACATGGTTCTTAGGAGAAAAAGAAACCAACTAATGAACTTCCTCCAAAACTGTCTTAGGCTGCAAAGCTACTATATAATCTGTATCTACCATTATAAGTGATAAACACCAAAGGGAAGCATTTTTTATTTGTTTATACCATAGTACAGAGGTCCCCAACCTTTTGGGCACCAGGGACCGGTTCCATGGAGAGAGGATGCGTGGTTTTGTGTGCTGCCTGTATCTTGCGGGTGGGACTTTGCTTGTTTGTGCGGACCAGTTGCTGGCATGCCGCGGCCCGGTAGTGGTCCATGAATTGGGGGTTGGGTATCCCTGTCATAGTAAATGATCTGGCTACTGAGGCAATAGTATAACCATATCACCAAGTACATAGTTAAAGAGATTGGTTTTCTTTTTCCCTTTTGAGTCAACAGATTTATAGTGCCACCCTTGCTTAGCATATTAATGGAACTGCCTGTTGACCAGACTAAAGATGGTTATGAGAGAACAGTAAGAACTAATGTATTCAGCAGGCAGCTTTTTAAAAGATTCCATTCTTCTGAAGTTTCTAAAAGTTCCACAATGTAATAAAGGCTTGGTGTTCCCAAACTTAAAATAGCTATTATCTCCACTAGCTATGAAATCTGATAGCTATTAAAATTCAACAGCACATATTTACTGCATGTTGTTCATACTGTTGTTCATGTTGCAAGTCTTTGCAAAGTATTAATGTTTATAAAGGTGTCTGAGTTTTAATTCCAACTAGTTGTTTCTACAACACTTGCAGAAAACTGCCCAGCGTGATTTCCCCTGCTCACAGCAGCATGCATGGCAGGTGGCATGCAGTACCAGCAAAACAATTGCAAGGCACCTCAGTGGTAGCTGGTCGATTGCTTCTCTGTGTGCCATAGGCAGCTGCATCTCAAGCTTGAGGAGGGCTGGAGCCTCTCAGTAGTCCCAATCATCCTGTCATCTTGTCCTAGCAAGTGGCCCAGCTCTGTAGGATAGGAGGCAGCAACCTCATTCTAGACCAGTGGTTCTCAACCTGTGGGTCGGGACCCCATTTGGGGTCGATCGACCATTTCATGGGGGTCGCCAAGCAAGGCCGTCCGCCATTTTTTCCCCCTTTTCCGGCGGGTGCCATACCTCCCTTGGGCTGGGCCAGCTGGTGGTCGGCCTGCTCTGTCTCTGCCGCTTGCCAGCTATGCCTCGGCCGGCGCAGGGGGCAAAACCACGCATGCACGGCGCTCCTGGGCAGGGAAAGTCCTCAACTTACGACTGGTTGGGTAGTCCTCGACTTACGACCGATTTAGTCCTCGACTTATGACCGGTTTAGTCCTCAACCTACGATCAGTTGGGGTCATGGCATTAAAAAGGTTGAGAACCACTGTTCTAGACCTATGACATTTCATGGGCCACAGCCTACAATTAATATTTGCGGAAAGAACAAGTCAGGGAATAATGTAGAATGCATGGGAATATCTGCATTTCTTTCTAAATTGGAATGTCTTTTATGGAGTCTCTTTTTTAAAAAAAAAACTACATCAAATCCATTTTCTATTTCTAATCATTTTTGGTACCAACAATGTTTTGGGATGGCAGAAAAGTTGCTTTGCCCTGGCTTTGATGGTGAGATTTTTTAAAAGGATACTTAAACCAGCCTTCTCCAACCTTATTTCCACCAGAGATGTTCGGGCAACAGCTTTCAGCATACATTGCTAACATGATAATCCACCCAATCTGTTTGAATCAACCTTCTACTACCATATTAATCAGGAATGGAAGCAGATTTTGGACAAGAAGGTAGCCAGAGTTTCAGTCCCAGTGGCTAAAAGAGAATCCAAGGCTGCACTCTGAACATCAAATTTACCTTCATAGTGTCCTATAAAGGTATTGACTGCCTCTACAAGTGATGGTAAAGCAGCAGGGGAAGAAATAGATAGGGGGATGCTTAAATGCTGTCTTGTCTCCTGATTCTTATAAAAAGACAAATCATAATAAAAGGCCCCAGTGATAAATGTCCCCAATCACATGTCAGTATCTCTGCTGGGATCATTAGTTTTGACCTTTCCCATGCATGCTATTGGCTGCTCCATGAACTCTTAATTTCAGATTCAAAAAGGCTGTTTGCCTAGAGATGAAATTCAGCTTTCAAAAGCAATACTCTGCATTCCCAACAGGGGAAAAGCACAGCCACTAGAGCAAGGGTAGGCAACCTTGGCTCTTTTATGACTCGTGGACTTCAACTCCCAGAATTCCTGAGCCAGCTTGGCTGGCTCAGGAATTCTGGGAGTTGTAGTCCACGAGTCATAAAAGAGCCAAGGTTGCCTACCCCTGCACTAGAGTATACACAGGAACTAACTGAGCCCTGAAACTCTTGGAAAGAAGCAGAAGGCTCTCTTTTGCTTTCCACTTGCTGATTTGGTTTTTTGGCTGGCTAAAACTTAGACTTTCTTTGCTGGTTAATTACTAGACCTATCATCTCCCTGCACTCAAACTTATTGAAAACTACTGTTCTGTGGTCTTCTCATGAAGAACCGCTATCCAGAATGCATGTGGGTAATCTCTTGTTATCTGCTTATTCAGCAAAGTTCCAAAGAATCAGTCTACTCACTGATTCCTTGGCCTTTGCTACAGTTATCAGCTCCACTTTCACAGACTCATCTTCAGTTTACCACACTTCCCCTGGAAGTCATCACAATACTTTATAATTTATTAATTAAGCTTGCATGCTGCCCAACTCTCAAAAATTCTGGGCAGCTACTGAAGAAACTTCATCTCATCTGATCTTGAAACAAGCGAAGTATGGTCAAAGTGTTCGGCTTTAGTTGGAAGGCCAGCAGCAAATCCTTGGATTGGGAGCTAGACAAGAACATTAAAAGATCTTGGAAGAAAGCACTGGCAAACCACTTTTATATTTTTGTCAAAAAAATTGCCTGGACATTGATGTATATATGCAGTCCTTTGGAGTTTTGCTTGTTTCAAATAAATATTAACGGGTTGTGTTCAGTTTTTGATTGGGAACTACCCAGAATTGGCTGAAGTGTATAAATGTTTTAAATAAATAAATTGAGGGACTCTTTAACTTCTTTTTTAAATGTATACTCTTTCCTTTATCCATGAATGGAGGTGCTACCTAGGGAGAATAGAAGAGGGTTTTATATAATCCGAACAAGGCTTGCGCATTTGAAGGGGCCAATTCTCTCCAGTTGCTGGTCAATATGTCACAGTTCAGCCCAATCAACTTTATATTTAGCACACCAATTAAAATTGCTTTTATAGTCAATAAAGGTTGGCCTTTATTTGTGCTCTCAGTTAGATTAAGGCATCTGAGTATGTTACTACTGGTGGGAGACAGACCAGAATCTTGTGGCCTTTGTGTTTTCAGACAGGTGGCAAAGGGAAACAACCATGCTTTAACCTTGAAATCTAGGTAAAACCCAACACAAATCAGTCCTAGTTCTAATTATACATTCAGAGCATAACCATCCAAC